TAGTATTCTATATATATATATATATATATATATATATATATAGTACGCACATATATATGATTCAAGAATGGATGCCTGACACAAGCACAAAAATAATATGCACGAGAAAACTAACATCATACACAGCACAAACATAATGTATGGTAGAAGGGTGGCAAATCACATGCACGGCAGGGTATAAAACTGAATCAAATCACAGCAATTCTATACCAGTCTACATTCTTTCAATGACTAAGAATAGTAGTAGAAAAAAAGAATTTTTCCCATGCATGTTAACATCAACACATTAGAATATTTAAGATTACGGTGCCAAAGGTATACCTTCAATTGAACAACCATATTTTCTAGCTCAGCCCCACGATTCCGTTCATCTAGAATAGGCTTGATCACATCTTCTGATGGATGTGTACTTTTTGGCAAAAGGTCCTGATTATCATCAGAATGTCTTTCAATCAAACACCCATTCTCCAGATTGTGGCCAACCCTTTCACCTGCATTTGGTTTCGACCGGAGCCCTCCCTCCTTTTTCAATTTAGCAACAAGTACCCACATGCCTGCCAAATCATTTTCCAGGTCTGCCTCTCTCTTCTTAGCATCATCAAGCTTCTTCTGGTATTCTTCTTCAACAAGCTCTTTCTCAGCCAAAGCAGCCTCAAGAACAGCTTCTCTCTGTTTTCTTGCAAGCAACTCCCTTTTTAAATCCTCTGGATCAAGATTCCAGAAATTCACATCATCATAAATAGAACCAGGGTTCTCACTGGACCTACTATTGGGCCGACATTTTCTCCCCATTTTATTCCCATCTGCCTTGGCTTCAGAATACCTCCGTATACCACCATTACCACTCTGCTTATGAACACCTCTTGAGTATGAGATCTCTTGAGCAGCCGATAGTTCTTTCGCCTGCTTTTCGTTTTGGAGGGATAGCTTGGTGACTTCATCTGCCAAGTTCTTTAGCTCAACAGCAGCAGCAGATGCCAATTCTTTTGCATACGAAGCATCATCTGCTAACTTTTGATTCTGAACGTGTAAATTGTTATTCTCATCTAATAGCTGACCGTTTTGCATCTTCACTTTATCAACTTCAGCACCCTATTCACAGACAAAGAAGAGAATTTTTAGTCGTTTCATGATACCAAATAATGAAACTAGATTCCTTTCCAATTTTGCATAAAGGATAAGTCCATCAAGAAGAATTATCATATCCTAGGTTTAAAATGCAGGAAGCTTGCATAATTGTCAAAAGTAGCTGCATACTCGAGGTAACCCCAAGCAATTATCACTTCCAATCCTTTACTAGAAAGCATATTCCAAAAGAATGCAAAAATATGAGACCCACTGAACCCGCCTAGGCGGCCACCCAAGGCTTGCACCCCACTCAGTGGCAGAAATGCGGGTCCTTGAGGGTATTTTTTTGCCTTTCTTTAATACTAAATGGGCAAACTTGTGGGTTTTAGGTTCATTTGAAACCTAAAACTCATTAGAGGCTACTTTAGAGAGAGAAAACCCAACAAAAATTATTTTTCTACTGAGCCGCCTAAGTTTTAGGCGCCCGCCTAGGCGCTAGGCGGCCTGGACCACCCCCCTGACCACCTAGGTTCTGCCTAGTGTTTTTTGAAACACTGATGAGACCCAGTAAAATTTAAGAGGCAAAAATTACAACACCCCTCTGAGTCTCATTTAAAGCCTAACTTTTTGTTAGATTTTATTAAGTACATTACATTGAGCACTGAATTTTCTGATCCTCGGTAACACAAATTTCACAAGACAATAGTACCCAGTGCTTGTAGGCAAAGTTAAAATGAGCCCATCATTAGAAGGCAAGAGTCTATCAAAAGAGAAGTCCAGGTATGGAAATCCAAGGGGACTTAACCATCTAGCTATCAGGAAAAAGGTCCACAAGAATATTGAAGTTATTTATGGTCACGTAAAAAATAATACAGACAATAAAGCATTAACCATAATGTGTAAAACACAACCATGACATGGCACAAATCAGGGTTATCATACCAATCCTACATTACTAGCCAGGGAGAAATCCATTGACCCATTTAACGAGAAAACCATCAGAAAATGGCAAGAGTATCCAAGGGAAACCAGTAAAACCATTAGTCTAGAAATCCTAAGACTCTCTGAAGCCCACTTTTATACAAATGTTGTCAAGAACAGGCAGGTGGCAAGATCAGAGAGGACACCAACTTGGTCGGACCAAATGTATGGGACCTATTCACCAGTCAGACCAAACAGAAAATAAAACCATAAATAAGGGAAAAATAAAAAAATATACATTGAGAAACAAATAAAAAGAGAAAGATACAGAAAAATAAGGAAAATTTAAGAAAAATATAATGCACAAAAAAATGTAAAAACAATAAACTTCCCATATAAAATACAAAACCAAATACTCAAGATAAAAAGTGTGTGTATACAATGAGATCACTTATCTTTAGTACAAGGAGTTCATAATTACTTATAACCCTCCAATGTGAAATTTTGATGGCTTAGAAGTATAACAAAGTTCGAGAAAATCTCTTTTGATCTTTGAGCTGGTCAATGGAATAAATGTGACCACCCAATTTCACATACAATGGTAGAGATTAATTGTGACTACTATGTACCAAAAGTAAATGGTCTCATTAAATACTTTTCCATATAAAAAATATGGAACTTTTTTCATCTTTAATATTTCATAACTCCATTAAAGTGTTACATAACCAAGTAGCAAATGAAACCAAAAAACCGAACAAAACCAAATATTAGTTTACAAAAATACATATATGTTACCAAAAAAGAAAAAAAATTACAACAATAAACTCATTAACGCAAACAAAAACCATTATATTAAAGGAAAAGTGTTATATGTGTCCCAAGGTACAAACCATCTCTCCCAAAAATGAATGCAAATGGTGGCCCTTCCAAAAAAAATTAGAGCCGATGACCTAAATATTTCTTTCAAAGAAATTATCACTTTTAGTTTTAAAACTTTGTTTGTTTTACATATTAGTGATCCCCATGTTAAAGACTATATATTTCTTAAAAATCACGACCAAAATCCATTTCAAAAATGAACTATAAAGAGGGGACGCACTTTTATATATGAGTATGAGGACTCATTGAAGCTGTGTCCTGAATTAAATAAGAGAAACGAAATAATGCACTGATCTAAAAAAAACATTTCCAAGAAACCCCTAAAACTCCGAAATTTTTACAATTTTTCCTCAATATTAAAAAACCCAGAAAATAGTATAACAAATTTACTTCAAGTATTAAATAGGTAAGATAGACAGGTTGAATCCTACCTACAAGTCGCTGATGTTTAGCCAAAGAGATTAGGAGTTCTCGGTAGATAAGATAAGTAGAGAGAGAGAGAGCAAAAATAACCAAAGTAGCTCCATCTCCTCCAAAAACCACTTTCAAAACCCCAAAACCCTCCCCAACTGTAGAAAGGACCAAATGGCCACATTCATTTCCAAAAAGATCGAAAAAACCAACTAAAATGATGAATAATGACCCAACATTTGAAAACAATGAATGATATTTTTGTCACTTGTTAACCCCATCAAGACTAGCAAGTTCAATATCAAACTAATAGAATGGACGGTCCAATGAATGGACGGGCAAGTCCATTGGGCCTAAGGCCAATTTAATGGACATTCAAATCCAAGGGGGGCTCACGCGCATAATAGTGGCCACTAGTTCACTGATTCCCAGTTTGGACAGCATGGTCCAGTCCTGTTCTAATAAACACTAGTTTAGATTCCTGGACTTCAAAATTTTGACAAGAAAGCTCCAGATTTATCATATTTGGTTGAGATCATGAATGTTTAGAAGAAGCCACTAGAATATAAACGTTTTTGGGAAAATTACAAAAACCCCCAAAATGAGACTTTCTAGACAACCTCCTCCCAACCAAGTTGTTTATAGCAACTTTTACCCTTCCCCTCCCTCCGCAAGTCAAAAAGTCATATTTGTTTGATAAAAATGCCCATACTTGTACAACCAGACATTGACATGGACTCACACACGACCAAAAATGGTCTAGCAACCAAAAGTGCTAGACCGCCACTATTTTGTGCCGGACCGCATGCCCAAAGTGCCGGACCAACCCTAATTTGTGCCAAACAACATGCTTTCCAGAAGCCCAAAGGGCGAAACCACCCCTATTTTGTGCCAGATCAATGCTTTCCAGAAACCCAAAGTGTTGGACCACCCCCATTTTGTACCGGACAGCACGCTTTCCAAAAGCCCAAACAGGAAGGCATTTTAGCCTTTATCTTATTTTTATTTTCTGATTGGGAGGGCATTTTCTAGGAAAGTTAAATTTGGGGTAAAGGTTGCTAAAAAAAACTTGGTTGGGGGGAGGTTGTCTTGAAAGTCTACTTTTGGAGGGTTTTTGTAGTTTACCCAATTCTTTTTCAATTTTTTTCATACATTATTATTATTATTACTATTATTATCATCATCATTATCATTATCATTATCATTATCATTATATATATATATCAATGCATTCCGGATTATTATTATTATTATTATTAATATTATTATCAT